TGCATCGCTACAGGCCAGGAGAATTTCGTGGTTTCTTGTTCCTGGCTCGATCTCTGCCCACAAGCCCAAGATTGGATACTTTTGCAAATGGAGCCACTCCTGGGGAGAACCAGAACTCACTCCCACGAATTAAAAACACACTGATGATACCTCAGTAAGTTGCGTGCTCTTATTAAAGGGACTGCTTTATTTTGATGACATCTTTATGGGATTTTTCCTAATGACAGCGCTAACTTGTTCTGAGCTTCCTGATCCAGTCAATTACAGACAAAGAGGAAAGATGCAGGCTGAAAAACCGGCAGGGAGATAGATCACCAAGAAGAAGAGGAAGATCAGACCCCCGCTTTGGGCAAGAAATGTTTATTTTTCAATCATTTGGAGAAAAATTCATCTCTCACCAAATTCAGGTTTTTGTTGCAATTTGGCTTGAATTAGGAAAATCAAAGGGCTTGGAACAGTAAAACTTGATTTCATACCAAATGTAGCAGTGTCAGGAGAAGCCTCACCACTGAATCCCGCATGTCCTCAGAGGTGCTCGCTAGTACCCTCCAGTGGTGTAGATTGACTCGTGAGCTGCAACTTCACCGAAGAACTGTGGCATCCGAGGTGAAATCCTTCTGTGGCTCCACTTGCCACAGAAGAGAGTCCCACCTTCTCAATGTGGATTCAAAGACCCTCCTGAGGCCCAGGGTGGAGCTCAGGGGTAGAGCACACTTGCCTAGCATGTGCGAGGCCCTGGGTTTGCTCCCCCTTTGTTCTTTGATCAGTACAAGGATCTTCTGATAGCACCCTGCTGTGCTCTCTAGCTAGCTTCCCCTGACCTTTGACTTCCACCCACACTCCACACTGCACTTCTAGGCTGCATTTCTTACATTTACCCAAACATACCGGTGCCTTGGTGTGTGCAACTCCCTCAGCCCAGGGAACCCACCCAGTCTCTGACTCGAAACATTCATCCTCTTCCTGTGACCTTGGCTCAAGCATCTCCTACTGATCTGTGTAAACTGAGCAGCAGCGGTTGTATGCCAAGATCTGCTGAGCATCCCTGTGTGGCCTTCTTTCAGCCTCTACCCTCCCTCATAGAAACTTCTCTCACAGTCTTTATCACTCCAACTGACAGGTACGTCTGTGCATGTCTCTCCAACTGAGCTGTAGAGTCCTCGGGCGCCACAATGGCTCTTATTTCTCTTTCTATCTATTGCACTCAGTGTAAGACCTACCACACAGCAGGGGCTCAGGATGTTTCAATAATGCATTGAGTGAATGAGTCGATGAGTTGGAAGGACTCTAGTGGAAATTCCCATTCAAAACAAGAATTCCCTTCCCCCGTGGGGTTAGTAAACCAAGGTCTACAGGCCAAAGCTGGCCAGGTGCCTGCTTGCGTAAAGAGTTTTATGGGAACATGGCTGTAACCCTGTCTCCACGTGTTGCATGGAACTGTCTCTGCACAGCAGCGGCCAAGTCGAACAGTTGGGACCCAGGGCCCTCAAAGCCATTTCTGGTCCTTTACAGAAGAGTTTGCCTGCTGCTGCTCTGTAGCATGGGCTTTTTATCTTTTTTTGGTTCCAGGGACCCCTTTGAGAATTTGATAAAAGCTTTGATATTGGATATCTGCACATACACAGGACATCTTGCATCCAATTTCATGCAGATCAATGACTCCTTGAAGCCCATTCATCAATCCCCTAAGGATCCATGGTCACTGTGTTAAAAAAAAATCCTGTTGCCCAAGGCTAGTGAGGCTGAAGGGAGACAGGGATGGAGTGTGGCCCCAAAGGTGGCTGAGGGATCAGGTCAGAGTAAGAATCATATCCCTTAAAAATCAAAACTTATTAAAAAAAAAAGAGTGCAGTGATGTGACCCGAAGCCCTCCCCCATATAGAGTTGACTACCTTTCATGTCGTAATTTGAATGTACGTGTTCCTCCAAAATTAACGTTGGGACTCAAACCTCAATGTGAAAGTATTAAGAGCTGGGGGGGCTTTAAATGAAATTATTAAATTTATTATTTAATAATTATCCATATTTAAATAACATATTCATTTATAATGAAATACTATTATGTAATAATTATTTATTATTCAATTTCATTTAAATCTTGAAGGGTGGAGCCACCAGGAAAGAGATTCATGACCTTATCAAAGGGCTGGAGGGTACTATTGAGCACCTCTGAGGACATGCGGGATACAGTGGTAAGGCTCCTCCTTGGAAGCAGAGAGAACCAGCCCTCACCAGACATGGAACCTGCCGGCACTTTGATCCTGAACTTCCTGGCCTCCAGAATTGATGGAAGCCGTCCTGTAGGATTATCTAGCCTCGAGTGTTCTGTTATAGCAGCAGGAATAGACTAAAATGCTGCAGAAGGTATCTCCCGTCCTGGGGATGTGCTTCTGTGCATCACGTCCTGCGCAGGATGGGGATGCCATCCATCCTCATGTTCATCTGACCCTGTACCGTGAACCTGGCCATCCTCCTGCAGGCTGAGGCCATGTGGTCCCGTGGGCATAAGCCCATGTCCTCATCTGGCGTGGAGAGGCCAGGAGAGAGAGCAGAAGGCTGGGGAGAGTGTGCCTGCTTGGAGCTTCCAAAGGAGAGGCACGAAGGGGCGGGAGAAGGGAAGAGGAGCCAGGGCCACGATAATCCGTCAACCCAGTTTGCTTTCTTAAAAACAAGGGGCGGGCGGAGAATGCATGTGTCTGCGAGCTAATGAAGTCATGAGCAATGGGAGGCGTGAGGCCTCTGGGAAGCAAATTGTGGGCCAAACGAGCTCATTTTTTAGCAGAATTATTAAATTAGCAGATGAAGGAAACACATTAGACATTATGAATCTTGCTTTTAGCAGAGCCCTTGATAGAGGGCTGCAGAAATGCTGGCTCAATCCATCCCATTCGGGGTTGGAGGGAAGCTGGAATCACTGGGATCCCCAGCAGAGGGCCAGCACTCCTGGGGGGTGGGGGGCATGGGATGAATGGTGTTTAGGGGACATCAGGGCCAGGCCCTGACTTGGGGGCCTTATTCAATCCTCACAGCCCTTGGCAAAAAAGAGGTTATTGTCCTCATTTCAGGGGCTGAAGTGCCTTGCCTCTGGTCAAATGGAGTGGGCAGTGAGGCTTGTGGGGGGGACCACAGGCCTTGGTCTAAACCTGGGGCTCCTTCCTTGAGGGAAAGAGAGACTTTCTAGCTGGGAGCTCTGTTATAGCAGCAGGAATAGACCAAGACGCTGCAGAAGGTGTCTCCCGTCCTGGGGAGGTGCTTCTGTGCCTCACGTCCTGCGCAGGATGGGGATCTGTGTAAACTGTGGGATCAGAGAGAGAGATGAGGGTGAGAGCTGGAGTCCAGCAAGGGGGGCTGGAGTCCTCAAGTAGGGCTTGGTCAAAGGATGGGAGGGGAGGCAGGGGAGTGGCAGGGTTGACTGTAATTGCTGTGCTTAAGGAGGTTCTAAAGAATGGGCAGCTGCTCAGGGAAGGGAAATGAATGGATTCCATGCCACGGAGGTGGTGGAGGGAACTAACAGGGATGTGCTTCTTGTTCACATATTCAGAGGCCTGTTCCAGAGGAAGCCCGAGACTGCTGTGGCCTTGGGAGGTTGATCGAGGTCAGCCAAGGACTTCCAAGGTGGAAGAGAGAGCCCCCTGACAGCGAGAGAATGACCACACTCCTCTGTCCCCCTACAGGCCTCTGTCTTCTGAAGGCAGGAATGAAGAAGCGCACCCCACAGAGAGGCCGGCATGAATTCCAGAGCTGAGTGCAAGGTCGCCACTGAACTCTGAGATCTGCTGATAACAGGTGGGTGACCCCTAGAGACAGCCCCTAGCCTGATCATTGTGGGGTGTGGAGAGGGGACGGACAGGCTTCCCAAGTCCTCCTGGCACAGGAATGGGGGAGTTGCTTCCAGAGAATCTTCTCCAGCAGTGAGATCCAGACCCATCCAAACTAGGAAAGAAGAGGGAGAGCAAGGAAAAAAGTGAATGAGAAAGGATGATGGTTAATCCAGTTACTAGCCTTTCCTGAGGTCCTACTGTGTGCCCAAATCCAAGACAGACCGGAAATGAGCTGTGGGAGGCTGGTTATGCAGTTGGAAAGGTGGGGCACCATGACTGTCTTGGCTCAGACAAGCTGGACGGAGCCCAGGGCCCCCAAAGAGGGCAGACCAGGTGATGGGCTTGCTCAGGGCCATGGACCACCTGTACTGGGACAGGCCTGCATGCATCCCTGAGACAGTGGCCTTCATAGCACAGCAGAAGGCTTGCTGGAGGACGGGCATGGCAGGTATGGTGAGAGGTGAGGGACAAAAAGGTCAAGAGGCCACCTGCCACAGGACTTTGCAGGGGGGCAGGCTGGGCTTCTGATGTTGGGGGCAGGAGGCGCTATTGAAGGACACCTTTCCGCAAAGAAAAGTGGGTCCCTTGCCAGAGAGGAGCAAATCAGAATCGAGTCACGGAAGCCTGAGCATGGAAGCTGGACGGCAGCAGATGTGACCGAAGGTCAAGAGTCCAGGGAAGGGTTTGCTACAGAAACCCAGGGACAAGGGCACCTCAGTGTGATTGCTGAATGGAGCTGGGGAAGAGCACGGGGTTCTCCAGATGTGCACATCTCTAAAAAGTCTTTCTCCCCGTGCACCTGTTTGGTGGGAACATACGTGTTCTGTTTGGGGATGTGCCTCAGGGCGTGTGAGGTTCCTCTTGCTGTGGAGGAGTTTACATGGCCCCCCAGGAAACCCACGGCTGTGGTTGTGCTCATGGGAGTGCATGGATGTGGGTGTGTGTGAGCGTGTGAGTGTGCCCATCTCTGGAAGAAGGCAGAACCGAACGATCCTGCTTTCAGGCGGCAGTGACAAGTCACACAGACAGCCCTGCCATAGCCCGGAGGCCCAGACTCCCATCTCCTTTAGATCCTTTAGCTCTGCTGCCACCACTCCTTATAATGAGCTGGATGCTCCACATAGGGCACTGTGGGCTGGGCTGATGGCATCTCGTTGGGGCCTCCCCATCCTCACACTCGCTCTCCCACGCTGTGCTCTCGGCTTTGCACTAAATGCTTGGATCGGGAAGGGCACCCACCGCCAATCCTTTCTAGTGTTCCTTCAGCACAGAGACCCGAGGATGCTGGGGGTGATGGCCCTGGGACTGGTGGCAGGACAGAAGAGGACCTCCTCTCCCCCATACCAAGACTCGCCCTGTGCCATTCCAGCCGAGATCTCGGGAATGCTCTGACCTGGGCCTGAGCCACATTCACCCTGCCATTTCTGAGACCTGCACCATGAGGTGTGCCCCGACCTGCTCTGAAGGCAGCCTGGAGAGAGTGGGAAACCTCGTCAGCAGAGTGAGTAACCAGGCCACAGAACCCCAATCCTGGGCCTCCTCTGCCCATGGAATGACCTTGGGGGAGATCCTCTTTAGCCTCCATTTTCACTTGTATAGAACAGGACTAGGCTGCCTTGGTGGATCCCAGACATGGGGTCAGGGGAACAGAGGGACTGTCATCCACTGTGCTCAAGTGTGGGGGCCTGAAGGTGCCCAGTTGGGCAAACCCTTTACCCAGGGATGTCCTGGTAAATGCTTAACAAGTAGCTCCCTGCAAAGCCAAAGAAAACTAAAAATGCCCTGATCTGCGATCTGCAGTGTTTGCCAATTTCTCAGGTGTAAATACCCCCACCACCGCTGATCCGGACTCACCAGCGTGAAACCACTGAGCATGGACATGGGAAGCGATGTGCAGAAGAAGCAGCTCTTAGGAGCCAGTCAGAGGCGGCGGCAGCTCTGGCACATGGTTGTCTTTAACCTGAACATGAGAACAGCCCAGCCAGAGGCAGAATCTAAATCAAGGTCAGGGAAGAAACTAAGGGCCCAAGCGCCCAACATTGGGTCTGAGCCAGCCTTGAGACTGGAAGTGATAAAACTGAGTCAGGAAGCCAGGCACAAGGAAGGCGGAAAACAGGTTTGGAAGTACAACATGCAAGGGGCCCAGGGAAGTGGCTCAGGCTGGAATCACCTGGTGCCGGTGGTGTGCGGGAGTCCCAGCTTGTGTGGAACACCCTGTTGCCTCCTGTCGTCCCTGAGCTTGGAAAGGGAGGCCGTGCATGTGACGCCGAGGGAGCTGGTCAAATAGACAGGTGTTCCCTGCACCCCAGGGATGACGTCTGAGCAGGCCAGGCCAGGAGAGGGCAAAGCCAATCTCTGTAATTGTTAGTGCATCAATTCTGGTGACGGTCCCATGAGGACAATGCCAAGGTCCCAGAGAGGGGGGATGCCCTGTCTGACATCATCTGCTATTTCTAGGCCAATTCACAGCCTCCTCCAGGGGGAATTTCCTTCAGGACATAAATCACCCAGTCTTCTCACGACTACCTCACCTCCCGAGGAAACCGAGGGAGCCTGGGCATCCGGGCGTCCTGGTGCTGGGAGTGGAAAGAAGGCGTCAAACCTGACGTCACTTGGACCAGGGTTCAAATCTCACCTCCTCCCCTTCTCAGCTGCAGGGCTCTGGTAAGTCATGTCACCTCTCTGACATTCCACTCCCTCAGAGGGACTAATCACAGCTAATAGTCTCTCTCACGTCCTTCCCTCTTTCTTCTCAGACAGTGGGTTCCGTGGTCAATCTGTGGAAGCTTCCAGAGGGAACGGTCGACTCCCTCCCTGGCGTCTTCTCTGGCTTTGTGGTGGTGGGGTGGGTCACAGGGCTGGGCTGGGTCGAGGACACAGAGGGCAGAGGAGATGGACGCTGTTCACGGGAGTTGGGGAGCTGGCCTGGCGGATGTACCCTGGGTTCCTTCTCCCCATGGGGGGCTCAGACTCCCCCTGGGGAAGTGTAGGTTATGTGGGGCTCAGGAGCCAGAAGGATAGCTGTGCCCTCAGGGGCACAGGAGAGGGCCCCCTTCTCAAGCAGAGGTGCCTGTCTGTCTGCCACCTGTTTGCGTGTCTGCCTGACTTCCTTTCTGCTCCAGGCCTGACACTGTCTGTCTGCCCCAACTGTCAGTCCATCTGTCCTAGGGGAAAGACTGGTAAGACTTGTCACCTGCCGGCTGCCTGCATTTTTTTTTTTTTTTTTGCAGAAATCAACCTGATTTCTTGTCCTTCTGTCTGTCTGTCTGCCTGCCTGCCTGCAGTCTTCTCTCCAATCGTTCTGATTACAGCTGATTCTCTTGCACCTGGGCTCCATTTTATGATGTGTGAGTGACAGAGAGGTGACAAATGAGAGCAAGAGAGAGTGACAGACGGGAGCACACATGGGGGGGGGTGCGTGGAACACGTGTACACACAGAGGGTTGACAGCTGGGTTGTCCCCTTTGAGACAGGGTCTCTCCAGGTCTCCCCATTCTCAGAGGGGTGCGCTAGCACCATCCATTCTGCAGACAGAGGTGTCCCCCATGGTGGCTCAGGGGTTGGGGGGGAGGGACAGTATCCATGGCAACCAAGGCACATTTTGGCTCAGGAAGAACCTTTATAACAATGGAGCTGTCCGACAAACAAAATGGGCTGTTAGTAAGGTAGTGATCTCCCTGTCACCGAAGTCATTCAATTACAGGCTGGCCACCCACCCGTCATGCTTTCGGGAAGAAGTTCCCCGCCTTGGGAGAGTCAGACCCGAGCGGTCAAGACAAGCTGACATTTATGACCTGGAGTCTGGATGATCCTCATAAAGGCTTCTCCCAGTGCCTGGCACCTAGTAGGTGCTCAGAAACAAGCTGCTATCAGGAGGAAGGTTGGATTGGGTGACCTCGGGGGGCCCACTGGTGGCCCTTGTGTTGGGCAGAGGGGAAAAGCCCGTTTGTGGCAACAGGTTATGCAGAGACAGGAGCTGGGAACGTGGGGTAATAAAGGGCTTCCCAGAATAGGAATGTCTCTGTCTCCCTCACCCTGATTTGCATGGCTCCCGCAGGCCGCCCTCCCCTCTCCTAACTCAATTTCAATTTCAATTTCAATGTCAATAACTTCCCTGGCAAGACAAGCAGCCAGGGGTTGCCAAAGTGAGTCGGAACATTGAGTTTCCCAGCCTGCGACCGCCTCGTCCAGCCAGTGCTGTCCCCCCTTGGCCTGCCAGGCCCTTCTGGCTTCATGTCCCTCATTCCCTGCGCCCTTTGGGGAGACTTATTTTTACCCTCTCCAGCTGTCGGTAAGGTTGTTTGAAAAAAAAAAAAAAAAGATGCACTCTCTGCTTTGATCAAGATGTTCAAACAGCAACAGCATGTGGGTCGCCAGGCGCCAGCTCTGTGGCTCTCCAGGCCATGTGCTGGGGATGGAAGGAGGAGGAAGGCTTAGCTCCCACCCTCGAGATCCCAGCCAAGTGAGGAGGCCGTTCAGAGCCAGCAGTTCCAACAGTGAGGCCAGTGTCCTGATGGAGTGGGCAGTGGGCTCTGGGAGCACAGAGGACAGGCCCCTGAGCCGGGCGGGGGCTGGGCGGCTTTCCCAAAGGGGCCGAGTGGGAGAGACTCCTCCAGCATCCCCGATGGCAAGCTTCTCAGCTCTCTCCCTGGAGGTCCAGGGGGGCTGGGGTGTCACAGGGACAGGTACCCCCCTTCCTTAAGCCAGGGCAACGACTGGCCCCACGGTGTTGGCAGTCATGGCGTCCTTGGCAAAGGGCAGGTCAGACTTGGAGGATTGATAAGTATGTTCGAGGGTCCCAGGGAGATGGGGAGGGTGGGCCTGGGATGAGCCGGTGGCTGGAGGCCCGGGTCCTGCAGGGGTTGGGTGGCCCCTTACCAAGCACTGATCTGGGCTGGATGCTGTCCCAGAGGGAGACGCCTGGGACGGGAATGGTGAGGCTGCTGGGAGGCCAGGAGGCCCCGGGGACCACGGGAAGTGCCCCTGTCAGAGTGTGGAACTGAGAGGGCGGGGCTGAGGTCAGAGGCCCTGACGCGGCAGACATGTGTGGGTGGCCGGGTGAGCAGGCGCGGGCTTTGCCTACTTGGCATCCCTGCGCGGCACCAGATGGAAGTCACTTCTTGTCTCCACGGCCGAGAGGGAGCCACAGTTCAGGGAGTCAGACAGCTGGAGGCCGAGGCAGCGTTACCAGGATGTCTGCTTGAGTGGGGGCCCTCGGCCCTCTTCCTCCTCTCCTCTCCCAACCAGCAGGCTGCCAAGCACAGGGGAGACCCCGGAGGTAGGGAGGGGTCAGGCAGAGAGGAGCCCCCTGGGGGAACCACAGAGCTGGGCCACATGAACAAAGGCTGGGAGGGCCAGGAGCCGGCAGCATGTGCTTTTGGGTCTGGGGGTTGCTGTAGATGACTCCTTCTTGGCCTCTGGGGATGCCTCAGCCTTTGGGAATGAGCCTTTGCAGATGCTCCCGGGCAGGGACCCTCACCAGTCTGCTCCTGGTCCTTCTGGCCCAGCTTCAGGGTCAGACGAGGCTGCCCATTAGGCAGGGGTAGAGGGAAGTGATGCCAGGAAGACACTGGGGACGTGCTGTCCCCTGTCTCTGGGGACCTTTGGGCTGATCCCTTCCCTTCTCAGAGCCTTATTCTGCTCCTCAATAAGGAGAGCGCCATTATGCCAGATCTGGGTTTTACAAGGAGGGTTCCTCCAAGACTTGCTCCTGCAAGCTGTCACAGAGAAAAGAAGTCTCGGGAGAGACACTCCCTCCAAAGGACACTACAGGCTCTGAAATGCTTGCCCCACCCCATTTCCTCAAACCACTCATTTCTAGCCCAAAGAAGGGATGGCCCAGGCAACATCCTTTGGAAAAGATCATACCAAATGCTCTTCTCCCAAGATTCCCTCCAGTTCTGAGAATCCAGGTATCTGTTTCACTGAAGAAGGTGAAGGGACCAGACAAGAAGGAGGGATGTGGCCTTTTGTAGTGCCTCCTAAGCGCCCAGCTCTGTGCCATCTCTTGGATCCCCGTAGCTGCATTGCTAGGTAGGTGGTGATTCTCCCCTTGGCAGGTGAAGACAGCAAGACCCTGAGTGGCTGGAGGAAGAGGGAGGATTTTGCCTCTGGCCTCTTTAGGCAGAAGGGGAAGTCTCACTGGAAGGCATGACCTGGGAGCGAGGATTCTCTCTCCAGTCTCCATTGCTGGGGTCCCTCTGTTTTGAGAGAGGCCATTGGAGACATTATGGGGTGAAAACAGGAAAAACCCAGGGCTGGGGTAAACCCACCAACTGTAACTGAGAAAACAAACTCTTTAGAGTTCAGATCTACATAGGCCTGGCCCTGGGCCACAGAAGAAAACTTGGCAATGTGGGTTTTGTGTGGCATGGTGGAAAGACCTAGAGCTTTGGAGCCACACAGACCAGAATTTAAATCTACCTACAAAGAGGCTCTCAACGAACTTCACTTAACGGATGGACTAGATCAACGGAACTCTCCACTCCCCCCCGCGTAATTGGCCCTCGGAACACTGGGCTCCCAGATGTCCCCTTGTCGCTTGCCCATGTCCTGTGTCCCAGTATGGGTGTTCCCAAACCTGTTTATGTCTGTAACACGTGTCACTGTAAATAGGTAATTTAATCAAATGTAGCAAATGCCAATTAAACACGAGTGCAGAAAAGTTGTGTTTCTATGGCAATTAATTTATGCTCTGGGAAGGCTGCTTGAAAACTTGCTGTGGAATTAGGTGTGGGCAAGACTAGAAAAGATCAGAAGAAAAATAAACCCCAGACAAGGAGGGTTGCGCCCGCCGATCGACTTGCAAGGGATCAAACCCAGAAATCTCTTGGCGGGTCCTTCATGTGGAAAAGACAACGTGGGCCTTCGTTAGTGGGACCTTGGGAAACCCCTTCACCTTCCCCGGACTTAGTTTTTCTTGACTTTTGTTCCCACCTTGCCGAGCTGAGATAGGGAGCCATGGAGCCCAGGTGGGTCTCTTCCTGTTTGCCGTCCTCTTGAGGATGCCCTTCCCCTCCTCCTGCTGTGCCCACCCTGCCCCTCTCAGCGCCCCTGGGCTTCACCCAGCAGTGTGCAATTCAGCCGATCTGATGGTGATTCAGATTTGAGCCACAGACCCTCTCTGAAAGGGACAAATGCAAAGGGGAAGAGCCTTTTCAAGGGACATGCATTGCAGGGATCCCCTCCCGGTGGCGTGAGGAAGGAACAGGGGGACAGTTTGTCACCTTGGCGCCCTTCCAATCACAACTCCCATGACTCCCAGGTGAAGGAGTGCTTTTTCTTCCTGTACCTTGCAGCGATGCCCCCAGCTTCCCTAACCCATCCATCCACCTGGTGGGGTTCCACCTGGCCTCAGACTCCAGAGCCGTCTAAACCCCACGCCAGAGGCCCTCGAAGGAAGTGGAGGCTTGACAGAAGAGTTTGGCCTTGCTCCCTAAGGCCTCCAGAGCTCTGGCTCCTGCCTAAGTCTGGGTTCCGCTCCTTGCTGCCTGCCCAGATCTCTCCAAGCACCTATCACTGCGGACTTACCGCATGTACCCAAATCCTGCCCCAGGGAACCTAAAGGAGACCTCAAAGGGCTCAGCATGGACATTCATTCCCAGTCCTGAAGCTCGGCTGTTGCTGCTGCTGCTACCGCTCAATTTCTGGGACCCAGAGCTCCACCCACTGGTTCACGCTCTGACTCATCCAGGTTGGCCGCAGCTGGAACCCCAAGCCCAGAGGACTGCTTCGGCATCGCTCCTGGGAAGGGGAAGGGCAGGGCAGGCAGAGAAAAGACCCCAAGTGACCTAGAGACAGGGATTCATTTACTCACGCGCTTACTCACAGCTGACATTCAGCTCCACGCCCCAGAATCCTGTAGAGATACTGATCGTCTTCCACCTCGGTCCTTAACGTAGTTACCAGTCGGGGCTCTGCATGAGTTACCTCCTTGCTTCAGCAGAAGCCACAGGGCCTCTGTTCCAGGGCTGGTTGTTATGTATTTTGACGATCAGCCTCAATCATGGACGCCAGAAAGCACCTTAACTAAAAACTATTAGGTGAAATAGGACATAGTTATCATTGAACTGCCACGATCCATCTAGTCACTGAGCAACTATTTATTGAGCACCTAGTAGCTTCCAAGGAAAGGGCTAGGAATGGGGGCATGGATCTAAATAGTGTAAGGTCCCTGCTCAGTCTTGCTGCGTGAAGGGAGGCACAGCCGTTGACAGCGACTGGGATGAAGAGGAGGCATGGCCAAGAGAAAACAACCTGGGCTGACCCCTGGGCTTGGAGCATCGGGGTAGGAGGCTGGAAAGCCCACGGGGAGGAGCCTCCGGGTCCAGCCTAGAGCTCCCCAGGGCACTTTCATTCTGGCCAATTATCTACTAATGACTCACTGTGGATAGATCAGGAAGGGGACTGAGGACAAGGATGCTTAATTATCCAGCCGACGAGGGGAGGGAACAGCAAGTGTCCTGTGACAGGTCTCAGGAGAGGAGATGGCGCTGCAGGCCAAGCCCACCCTGTCCTGGCCACTTCATGAC